CGCCTCTTGCTATCATTTCCTTTTAGTTGACTGCTTTGATCAGGGAGTGGATGAGGGATGACTTCCCTTGGTGGCTAATGGATCTTCGGCCCTTTGCTTTAATATAGTTCATTTTGAGAGTCTTGTTTTGAAGAGAGGTGTCCATTCATCCTCTGTGGTCCCTGAGAGCCCTGAGCTCTAAGGAAATGATGCAGAGAGAAAGAAGACCCTTTTTCGTAGACTTAAAAACAGAGGGAGCAAATTAAAGTTTGGAGCGACTGCCATGGTACAATAAGAAATCATCTAAAAGTATTAGCCTGTTTTCATCTGGTCTCACAGTTGCCTTTCCTTTTGTGTGTGTGTTCAGTGACTTCCTGCAGGGTTTAAATGAGCCTTCGTAATTGGCAACACGGTGCAAAGTTGAGATGCACAATATCCTCTCACTTTCTTACGTTCATCTTAGTGTACTTAAATCTCGCGTTAAATCACTTCTGTTTTCATTTCCTCAGACGGGGACAGACCTCTGCCACATAGGGCCGCAACCAAAATAAAAAAGTGACCTTTGGAGTTAATAGCTTCCTTTCCCAGTGAGTGAAAAGCCTTAGAAAGCCGCTGCATCTGAAGCCTCTGTAGTCACAAAGCCCTTTTCTCTTACACACTCCGTCTGGCCAATAAATGGCTGTCCTCTATAAATCATGTTCGGCTTCAGCCATCCTGCCTCCCCCCACTCCCTAACAACTTTCCTTTTTCTCTGTAGAAAATGCCTATAGGCACAGCATCCGTGAACCAGTGGTCAACAGCTGCCCGGAGGGAGTCGACCAATCGCTTAGTTTACGCCTGCAGTAAAATCTTTAAAATCAATTCTATCGTCTAGGTTACAAGGCCTTGAGATTTACAAAAGGTATAACATCTTTAAACTGCGAGGCAGCAATCACGGATGACACACGCAATATCATTGTTGTTCAAGTGTCTAGATATATGAATGTATTATTTATAGAAAAAGCATTAAAAATGGCTACATAAAAGCTGATATTCACTGTGCCTGATATATTAGACTTCCAAGGTTAGGCATACAGTAACAGTCGGGGTATTATTTATGTTTTTGGTCCCCTTCATTCTGCACTGGAAATTGTTTTGTTTCCAGCTTGCCCTGCAGTACTTGTGCAGTGCACAGTATATAACACCGGCGTGTAGCTGTTGTGGCATATGCTTGCTGCCACCCTCATACTTTTGAAACCTCCACTGAGGCTGCAGCTGCAGTCTTATTGAGTAAATCACTGGTTTCACTCTAGGCTTTATAATATACCTGTTTTTTTTATTTAATATTTATATTTTAGATGATGTTTTTTTAATATATATTTTTATCTATTTTTATTTTTTACATTTTATTTTTGGCAGTTTCTTGTATGGTTCTTTCTCTTCCTGGCTAAAGCTCAGATTTTACAGAATTATTTTCTCAGAATAATACAGTTTTGGATGAAAATCAGTAATGTGGGTTCAGAGTGACTAACTTGCCTTTTCATTTCATTTATTTTTGGAGGAATATTTCTAGAGCGTCTGAGACCTCAGTAATTTCCCACTGGTGGTGTCATGCATCAGCACCATTTTACGTTCTCTGCTCACCAAAAAACCTGATGGAAAAACCTGTCCAGACGGATATATATATGCGACACTTCACGTGAGAGAAGCAATGGTCACATGTAATTCTCCCACAAAACTTTTGTGCTGCTTTTCTGCCACTGTCCACCAACCTACCACTATTTAGAAAGTATTTAAATCAAGAACCAGTGGGCTAGATAATCATTTTCAACCAACGTCAATCATTTTGTGTTTATAATAGCATTTTTAAGCTGATTTAAACACTGTTCTGCCGTGGGCTAGAGTGGAATCTCGGTCGTGCTGTTGCGTTTGATGCCAGTCATTCAGGCAGGTTGTTATCTCAGTTTAGAAGGGCAGGTGAGTGCCGGGTTATGATAATGTTAATGATATCAGAAGCCATTTACTTCAGAAGGGCACCTTGCCTGAAGCCCAGACCAAATACCCTGAGTGCACCATCCTTAAAAGCCTTTCAGCCAGCTCTGCATTTAGCACGTTTGATACATGATAGAGTTTCTACAATCCTTTGTGTAGAAGATATTTAAAAGGAAGCCAAGTATACAGGCAAGTAAGACCTTGGGTACCTAAAGAGCATATTAGACCAAAACGTTTATAAATTGTAACATTTTTATTTAAAAATATACGTCTTAAGGGAAAAAAAAGATCTTTTCAGTTGGCCACATCTTTACCCACTATACAGATATGAAATAGTACATATTACAATACAAAAGGAAAAAGCGGGGTTTTGGGGAGAGGAGGGTGAGAAGCATTCATTTTTGCACAAAGAAGTTTTTGGGTGTGATTTGAAAGTGGCTTTTTGGCCAGAGTGAGCAGCAGGATTTTAGCGTATGGCAAGATAACATTCCCCCAAAAAAACAGTTTACAGGAGTGCAAAGGGATTCATGTTCAGTGGTTTTTGTAATTGCTTATAAGCTGATAGTTTAAACAGATTACAGTGTTTGTCAGTATTTCATTAGAAAGTTGTTCTTTCCCACCGTATATTCCTAAACTATCAGATCAGGATGTGAGACGTGTCTTTTTTTCCCCCTTTTTTTGGGGGGGGGGGGGGGGTGCTGATGTTCGTGTTGTCTTTAAACATGCAAGGTGTTTTTGATGAACGCAGAAAGCAAAGGTCAGCTTTTCAAATTCAAAACAAAGCAACACCATTGGTAGAGGTTCTTGGCTCAGTAAATGTTAGCTGTAGTTTTCCTCGTTCAGTCCAACAGCATTTGAAAAATGCATTTTGGAATGTTATTTCCCAGCTACACCTCTGGCTGCACAGAAAAGATCAGCTACACACACTTGCATTCCCTTTCTGTTTGTTTTTACCAACATAAAATTGTGTTTTGCAGAGTGAAAGAATTTTAGCAGCCATTCCTCATTCATTATATTTTACAGCACCCTCTAGAGGACAGTTTTAATCAGTCTCTTCAGGCATGCTTAATTTCAGCATATGATGACTACTCAAGATTTTTTTTTTTTTTTACTACCATTAGGTAGGTGACCAAAAAATGGGCTTTGATATAGATGCCAATTTCTCAGATTTTGAGCTTTTTACCCAAAACTTCTGCCTGGATATGACTGCATGTTTCTTTATTTTTAGACTCTTTTTTTTTTTTAACCAATGAGGCAATAAGCCTTATTGCAGCATAGCTAGGGTGGCGTTCAGAGCTTTCTAGCTCTTGCCCAGGGTGTTGTCAGTCACCATTTTGTCATGCAGTTCTTTTTTCCTCTAATGGTTTCTGTACCCTGATTTAGCCTCACTCGGTGGCTCTTAAGATGCTCATTGACTTCAATTAGATGCCAACAAGTGTTTGTGTTCCCTGTACCCCCTTGTGCATCCCTGCCCCCAACTCCTGATTGCAACACAGAGCTACTGCAGCAGCGGCTTCTTTAGTTTGATGCTAATGTCTGTTCTCTCAGTGCTGCATACAAATGTCTCCTGACCCAGCCTCCCGCCGTCTTCTGCATGCTCTCCTGAGAGCTGCGCTATGCTTTACTTCAGCTTTTCTCTCTGTTTCTGTTTCTTTAGTGTCCTTGGTATGAACCTCTGGATATTTCTTGCACAGACGAAAAATAGCCTTTTTTGACTTTATGGACTGAAAGGAGCAAGGCTATGAAGTAATAACTCTAGTCTTTTTTTTCCCTTTTTAAGTACTGGCTGAGGAGGCTGAAACTTGCAGGGCAGAGGTTTTGGGTGACAGAATATTATATTCATTTTCCCCGGGCTTAATTGAGTCAATGTTGAAGCTGTCAGGTATAGTTATGCTCTTTGCTGCATTCGAACAGTGCGACGGCAAGCGTACGCATGTATTTTTAGGAGGCAATTGTCAGTGTCCTCTGCATGCCTCCTTTTTCTAGCTCTTCCTCTCTCCCTAGGAAGTTGTTCTCGCTGGTGTTTGCTTCGTCGTCTAGCATCCTTTGATGGTCTCTACCATTAATTAATGATGCAGTGATCTAAGCAGCATTGTTCTATCACAGTGAGGATGTCAGTGTTTGGAGCCATCTTATGTAAGAATATATGCACAATGATAATTGGGCAATTGTCTCTGTTTAACATTTAGTAAATCCTTGCTGAAGTCCTAAAAGAGGGAGCTTGTTCGGACATTTTGTTAGAACAAGTGCAGAGCCATATTGGACATTAACCTTTTCACACAAAGTGCTAGGCTTTAAGATTTCAAGGAAGCTGACAGAGTTTATTGAATTTAACCAAATGCAGAAACGGGAAGGCAGTTAAGTGTTCTCATTAGTTCAGATTTAAGACTCGATCAAAGTGTAACGATCATTTCTGCCACATGAGGAAGCCAAATAATGTTGAGTGGGTTGAATTCCCTGTTCAAAACTAAATTTCATTGTGGTTCAATTTGTAACAGTACTTGTTTTCAATTTAGAAAATGTAAGTTTAAAAAATATGCTTTGTGTCCATCTGATGTTTTTTTTGGTTTCCTCTCCCCAAAAGTGAATCTGAGTGAGATCTATAGTGTTGCTAACGTGCACCAAAAGTCTTTTTTTAATCCTTTTAAATTTGCACTGCTCCGCGTATGTAACACTATTTTTCCATGAAATAAAATCACCATTTATCAGAAGATATGTCATTTTATAAACGGTTTTCTGGAGCACAGGGTTCCAGGCGGTTTGGCTATAGATTTCTCATCTCCTCTGTGCTGCAGAATACATAGTACACAAACTGGTGATGCGGTGACACATCCAACCTTCCTCTGCTGAGATTGATCGCCCCAGCTAGATATGAACCTTTGCATTTGTATTACAAAAATAAACTTGTGGATTTTTCTATATTTCCTCGTTTCAAATTCATCCCAGTCATCTCAAGCTTTTATAGTTTTCCCAAAGCTAACAATTTCAAAGAAATACTCCTCCTTCATACAAACTGAAAAGGGGAAAAAAGTCAAAAAGCAAACCCTGTATCTTTTGAAATGGACAAATGGTTAAAACCAGAAACTGCAGGAATAAATAGTTTATACTTCACACTCTTTGTAAGGCAGTTGCTGACATTTGCACTGCCCGTAGCCATTGATGATCACGAGTGCACCCTCCTCGTGACTGGGCTCGTACTCGTTATAGGGCACCTGTGTGGCCAGGTCCGCCATTGGCTGCCTCTGCTGGGTCCTCATCTGTCGCCGGTTCTGAATGGCCGAGCAATGGCGGATCCGCCTCAGAGTGGGAGGGCAGCATTTACGTGATATGTACACTACAAAAATGATGAGAAAGAAGGAAAACAACAGAGCCATGGTGCCAATGATGACCCTCTGGGTCAGCACTGTGTTGTCCATCGCAGAGTAGTCCTCTGTAACGTCTGCCCCCTCCACCGTCATGGTTGTTGCGAGGGCAGTGCCTGGGGGTTGGGTGGTGGTGGTAGTAGTGGTGACAATCGTAAAGCTCCCAAAATCCTCTGCATAGAAGTCTTGCGTAGGGGTCTGCATATTTCCGAACGGGGAGCTTGTGATCTCGGGGAGCATGGCCTCTGTGCTGGTACTGGTCAGTACGACCGGGGCCGAGAAATTTTGGCAAAGTTGGAATCCGTAAACGGCATCCAGTATTTCCTCGCCCTGTGCGTACTCAGGACTGTGGCAGAGGATAGAATGCTCCCATCGACCCTTAAAGGTGCTCAGCCAAGTGGCCAAATTGCAGATCCGTTTGGTACATTCCCATAGGTTGCTCGACAACCCAATCGCGTTTAGGGACTTCCACATATCCATGGTTTGGGTGTCGAGGCTAGTCAGTTTGTTGTTATCCAGCAGCAGGATCTTGAGGTTGGGCAAAGTCTCAAACACGTCGGGGGTGAGTACACGTATCTCGTTCCCAGTGAGATCCAGTTTCTCCAGAGTTGTCCATTTCCATTCCATGGTGCATGTTAAATTGTTGATCTTGTTCCACTGAAGATAAAGGAACTGGAGGGCGACCAGACGAGGGAAGTGCGCCAAGTTAATCTTGGTCAAGTGATTGTGTTCCAAATGGAGCTCCCGCAGCTTAATTAACCCGGCGAAGCCATTCCGGGCCAGGCTACGGAGCCGGTTGTTGCTCAGGCCAAGGTATTCCAGGCTCCGGCAGTCCCAGAAGGCCCGCACGGGCGTCGTGCGCAGCGAGTTTGACCGCAGGTGTAGGATCTGGAGTTTCCGGAGCCCATGAAAGAGCTCAGGCTCCAGAGCTGTCATCTGGTTGAAGGAGAGATCCAAGATCTGCAGGTTGATGAGGTGGATGAAGGTTGTGTTTGGCAGCTTGGTGATGCGGTTTGAGCTCAGGTTAAGGTCCTTGAGCTTGTACAGCCCCTGGAAGGCATCCTCATGCACGGTGGTTATTTGGTTGTGGTCCAGGTGAAGCCAAGTGAGCTGGGTGAAGCCAAAGAACTGGTCTGAGCTGAGCTCGCTGATGCTGTTGTGTCTGAGCGAAAGTCCAAGGGCCCCTTTATCCACACCGTCTGGGGGCGCCAGGAGCCCCTGCGTGTCGCAGTAAAACTGCAGGTCTTCACATCGGCATTTCTGGGGGCAGGTTGTGCATGACACAGGGAGGCACAGTAGCATGCTGATCACACAAAGTGCCGCTGGTGCTTGTCCCACCAATGGCCACCTTGAATGGAAACCTGGGTGGGTTTAAAGATAAGAAAATAAACCGGGGGGAGGGAAATCTAATCTCTGCAGTACACAGAAACATTTTTTTTCCATTATCATGCGCACTCTCGCTGTATTTGTCAACATAGTAAAAGCGATCTGCTTGTTGATCCAAGAATTTTAACAATGTTTAAGGGGAATGTTCAAAGACTTGCACTGATAGTTATGTTGACTTAAGTCATTTTAATGCATAAATTATTCATCCATACGTTTAAACTGCAGAATTAGCATTTTACTCACAGGTTTCATTTAATTTTTTTCCTAGGATGCAGTTTATCGTCATTTTTTCCCATCCCAATTGCCTTAATCTTTTTTTCCAGTCATTATTTAAGTGGCTTGTAAGTCGTCATCTTTTTTTCCCCCTTTTCCTGCTGCAAATTACTGCTTGTTAAATATTACAAAGGAAAGCAGCTTTTTAAATATATAGATGTTTCTAGAGACCCTGCCTGCCACTGTTCCCCCTCCTATTCAATACATTGCCTATTCAGGTCCAGACTCTGTGAATAAAAGGGCTAACTTACCCATTCTTTTGTGTACATCGGAGGCTGCATTCAACTGTCTTTTTCCGCAGACTTTTGGAGCAGCCAGATGGAAGAGAAATCCAAAGGGAAAAAAACCTTTTGGGTAAATACAAAAGGAATCAAGCTCTTCAGAAATAAAGAAGTGCTGAGCCCCCCCAGTTGAACCAAATTCAGGCATTCCATGTCCTGGGATGCTGTTTTTTTCTCTTTTTTCCCTCGGTCTGTCCTTTTGTCAGTCCTGCTATTCAATTCCCAGATTAAGAAAAGACCAGCATTATTTGCCTTCCAAGAATCCTTAAATTCGAAGTTGATGATTTGCATCCAAAGCAGCACCGCTGAGCAGATCCCTCCGTCCCTTAGCTGCTCTTTCCTTTTCCACCGCAATGATGTCAGCTCAATTGGTTAATTGAAGATCACTCATTCCTCTTTCATTGCTCGAGGTCCTTCATCCCTAACTTGTTGATGGCAGGCTGAGGCTGCACTTGCGACGCCAGTTCCGTGTGGCTCTGCTGTGTTGTGTGGAGTTCTCGGTACCGAGGAAGAGGAGATGCAGTGAGGGGAAAAGCAGAGGAGAGGAGCTGAGATGTTATTCTGTGCTTTTGTTGCAGCCACTCACTGCTACAGAGTGGTGGCAGGCTGGCGTCGATCATCAGTGCAGTTTCTCTCTCTCCTTCTACGTGTATATTTTTGTTTGTGATGAAGCTGGGTTATTTAGTAGTACATTAAAACACATATTAGGTGATTTTAACTTGTTTTGTTTGTGTTTTGGGTCTTCAATTAAGTATTGATGAATGAATTTACAATATAATTAAGTTGGCACAGGAAGCTGATACTTAATTTGATATATGATGACTTGCAGTCAGATTGTTCCTTTCATTCTCTCCCTTTCGCTCATTCAGGCTTTCAACACGAAGCGCGTCACAAGCAAACCAACGTCACAGAGACCTTTTATACACCTGTCGATCTGCGGGGACAGAGTCTGAATGCTAGACTTAATAGAGCATTCACACTGCAGAGCCTGACAGGAGATTTCACTAAACATAAGATGTAGCTGTTAGCTGCATTTTTCTCTGCTCCTCTGTCCTCTGGCTAATTTTTCTTCATGTGGGTTTGCTGAATGTAATGTAATGGAAATTATACTGTTCCTTTTTTAATGAAATATAGCCTGACATGTTGGATGACAGCCTATAAAGCTTACTGGCTAAACATGCGAAGGGATGTGTATTAGCAAATTTATTTATTTATTTTATTTATTTATTTATTTTTATTTATGCATTTTATTTATTTATTTAGTTGTATTTTAGTTTTATTTATTTATTTATTTATTTATTTATTTTTAATGGATATGGATGGTTTTGATTCCAGATTAACTTTTTGTAATTTTTGTATGTAATTTTACTTAATATTTTATTAGTTTATTTATTTTTAATAGCATGTATATATTTTTTATACTTTATTTTTTGACAGATTTTGTTTTAGTACTCACAAGTAGAGAACGTAAACCAAAATATCTACAGCAAGACACTGGAGTTCACAGAGGAAAAAAAGAACAGAAAGAGAAATAAATAAAAAAATCAGTAATAAAAAATTAACTATTACCGACAACAGTTACATGAGGTCTTACAAGAAATCGTGAACCGCATGGTACAGATAGAAGTTGAGGTGCACTTTGGAAGTCTAGTCATTGCTTGTTCGTAGTATATAACAATCCCATTTCCTCCAATAATTTTCCCTTTTATTCTTCTGTAACCTGAGGGAGAAGGTCATTTTTTTCATAGAACATATTTGACTGACAATACTTGGAAGAAGATCCATATTGGGAGGGCTTCTCTTAAGCCAACATTTAGTAACTGCTTTCTTGCATGCAACTAAAAACATCTTTAAAAGATAACTATCACATTTATTCAAACCCTCCGGTGTGACCCCTAGAAACCTAGTGGGAAATGACACATCTATGTTAAAGCCTATTACCCTCGATATTAATTGTCCTGCCCTTCCCCAAAAAGACTGAATATGTGGACATAACCAAAAAATGTGGGCGGAGTCAGCTTGTGCAGAACGGCACTCCCTCCAGCAAGGGTGCTCTTTCCCAGAGAACTTAAATTTTTGCATAGGGATTATAAAAAATCTGATCAAACATTTCCACCCAACATTTGCCTATGACCCCTTTGATATTTTCACTCTTATATGCATCTATAAAAGTCTGGATCAATTTAGGAAATCATCCTCATTGGAGTTTCTGATCTCTGTCCAGAAAAAGTGCCGTACCTGTAGGTACCGATAAAAATCCTGTCTGTTGAGATCAAAATTCTGACATAGGTTCTGAAAGTTATCCAAATACCCGTTCAATATAATTTTACAAAGGGCAGTAATACCATGAGATGTCCAGGTCTTATATCTGTGGTCATGCAAAGCTGGAGTAAAGTGTGGATCATAGGCCAGCCAGCCCAATACTTTTACCTCCCTTTGAAGCTTGAAACGTTTAACCACCTCCATCTACCGCTTGACAGAGTGGCCCACACATTGAATTCTGTATTAGATGTATGTCATTCACTTGCTCTATGCATCCTAGAACCGATTGTATGGGAGTGTCCATTAAAGACAATTCTATATCCTTCCATTTTGCTGTATAGTTAGGACAACACCACAATACTAATGGTCTTAACTGTGCCGCCAGCTGATAATCCCTCAGGCACGGTAATGCCATGCCTCCCCTCTCCCTTGGTAATTGCAGGGCTGCGTATCTTACTCTGGGTCTCCTCTTGTTCCATATAAATCTAAATAGCATGTATTTGTATATGTTTTTATATCCCATTTTACTTATTTATAATAAACAGGATTCATTATTTAGTCAAATTTTTTGTTTGCTCACAGACTTATAACTCAAGACATTGCAAAGAGATTTTCTGAAATCATCCCCTTTAAAATAATGCAGCACTGCTTTTGTAACATTCGCTGCTTTCAGTAAATTTCAAGACAATTATTGCTAGATGTCAGATCGCCTGCTGTGAAACATTATTCCTGTTATGTGTAATTGTTGGTCTGTTGTAGTAGGAATCTTTGCATTACGTGACTTATTTCAGAATCTCACGGTATTACAGGTGCATCTCAATAAATTAGAATGTCGTGGAAAAGTTCATTTATTTCAGTAATTCAACTCAAATTGTGAAACTCGTGTATTAAATAAATTCAATGCACACAGACTGAAGTAGTTTAAGTCTTTGGTTCTTTTAATTGTGATGATTTTGGCTCACATTTAACAAAAACCCACCAATTCACTAGAATATAGAATATGGTGACATGCCAATCAGCTAATCAACTCAAAACACCTGCAAAGGTTTCCTGAGCCTTCAAAATGGTCTCTCAGTTTGGTTCACTAGGCTACACAATCATGGGGAAGACTGCTGATCTGACAGTTGTAGTTCTGTAGTTCTATTTAGGACCTCATGTCAAGTTAAAAAGTTAAACTTTTTTGCAATTATATGTCAGATTGCGGTCTTCTGTTTATGAATTCAACCATCGGTATCTAAACGTAAACGTGACTCTAACCCATTTATATGACTCTTTCTTCATCATACGAATCTTTCAAGTCACTGTCAAGTTAATTTTCCAAGTGTATAGTTTGGCACATACTTATTATTATTATATATTTTTTTTTTCTTCTGTGCACATGGTGACTGTAGGTTGTGCTAAAATTGCTTTCGTGCCATTGTACCTACTGTGCTTAATTTGAACATCTGTGTTTCTTTTTTTGGGGTGGTCACTTTCTAAAATGACCTGGGCTATTTTGTGTACGTATGATTTATTTGTTTGTCATTTTTCTCCATAGGTCATATGACTTTTTTTCAGATACTTTTCTCACTGGTGTGTAATCCTGCCCTCAAGGGAAGTCTCTGCTGAGGAGGACTGTTTAAAATCTTTTTTTTTCTTTTTTTTTTTTCCTTCCACCAGTCTGTGGGGAGATTTGTTCATGCTGCAAGCACAGCTCTACCTGACCATCATTAACTATATGTGTGAAAACACCACGTAAACTAGTGTGAGGAATCAAATGACTGCCCAATTAAGTGGAGCTGCTTGGAGCAAAATCAATATTGAGTGATCCAAGTCATTTTACCCTCCCGGGAAACATGCGATCATATAGGTAATATCCATCGAGCTTTCTTACTTACGCTCTGGATGAATGCACCATTTGTGCTAATCTAGGTAATTTTTGTTCAACTCAATGAGCAACCCATCTGTAGGTTAGTGATTTAGAATCGACAGTCCCTCACCATTATTACGCTGGAGAGCCTATGTTGTTCTCAAGCGCTTTCATCCGACTGGCATAAAAAACAGTAGGGAATTAAGGCCGATGGCGTTCGCTTGCCTCCTCTATCGTGTACCAACCCAATGGGGTGAGGATGTGGGGGGGGGGCGAACCTCCAGTGCCACTGCCATATTTCATTGACTGTCACGCTTTTGCTGCTTGTGCCCCTGTGACGGCCTTCCCCCAGGCATTTCCCTGTGCTGGAGATTTACCTACCCACTGCACATGAGCAGTTTGTCTGGGGCATGTGAGAGAGATCTGCTTTCCCAACGCTAGCCAACCTGACTTGAAGCGCTGGACAAGTGAACGCCTTGTAAAGTGTGGAAATTGCTCAGATTTATCTCCGACAGTCATTGTGTTGGCTAACATGTGAACTCTGCTTGACCAGGCTTAACTCCTCCTGCCTACCTTCCTCTGAACTTTTGTGTATTGTTAAAAGCTGTCTGACCCATCACATAATGGGTTTTATTTGAAAATCTTAATGCCTTGCTTACATTTTAATCCTTGGGGATGGAAGAAGGTTGGGGATGGAAGAATCGGACACCAGTTCAAAAGAATCTGTCACATTTAACTATTCTTTACGTGTTCCTTTGCCCTACATCCTTTCTTGTTCTTTTTTTTTTTTGTTTTGTACTTGCACTGCAGGAGAGCTATTTGTGTCATGAATTATTTCATGGACTGCTTAAACCCAGCTCAAGAAAGTGACAGACAAAAACTCTGGTTTTGAGCTGAAAAATGTGTCGGTGAAAGAATGTGGGTGGGTGCCTCCTGACAGTACCATGAGTCACGTTAGTCATACGAAACAATGAACGCCAAAGTGGGGGTAAAAGAACCAAAACCCCTACAAAGTTTTTAAGAATGAAATTAAATGTTTGCCACAGGGGGTTGTAACCATCTAAGTGACTCATGCTGGTTTGCTTTTTTCTTCCTCTGTAAAAAATGCATCTTATCCATCATATCTCATAAGTTTGTCTTGTCCTTTCAGTCCTCAGCTTTAACTCCCACCTGTCGTTTTTCTTTTTCCCAGCGAGCCTGACTATAACAAGTTTAAATAAGACTAAGTATAATTTCCCCCTGTTTGTTTTTATCACAGGCTGGACATAAAGAGAAGAGCGATGCCCTGAACATGGCCATCGACAGGATGACTAAGAAGACCCGTGACCTGCGCAGACAGGTCTGTTCACCTTGAAGCAGTGCACAGAATCACATTCATTTTGATTATAGGTGTCAACAAGAATATGTCCTTCTCTTTAATGACATGACATATGACTGTCTCTCTTTAGATGCACGTTGTTTACATTGCATATTAAAAAATGAATATACCAAACCCAGGTGCTCCGAGTGAT